CACAAAAAGAAACATTTATATAATATATAATACATAGATTAATATAAACATATTATCTTATAGATTAATATAAACATATTATTTTATATAAATAATAGTTTAAGGTAAATTCAGAATAATAAAAGTTAAAAAAGTAGAAATATATAGGACCATATATTTTAAATAGTAGATACAACAATTTAGTTATACATTATCATAAAATTTTGATCCATAAAAATAAAATAAAAAACATTTTTGCAGATATACGGGCCATATTTTTAAAATAAGTATGACACAATGATAGTTTATAAAGTAACATAAAATTACTCAATATAAACTATAAAATTGTGTGTTTAAAATTTCGTTTTAAACAATTATTTAAACGGGTAAATTTAGAAATATATATTATCACTTATAAAATATATAAAACATACACTTGCGCAGATCAAACATCAAACTTTTCGATATTCTTCTGTCAAAATTAAATCCATTTATTATAAACCTAAAAATTAAAAGAGAACAAAACACCCGCCCGGTCGGGCGGGTCATGGTCTAGTTCTGGATTAAAAGAACAGTCCATCTTTATATTCTGTAAAAAAATATAATCACATATTATTTACTCATCAACAAGCCCAGTCTTAATTATATAACAAAATAAAATTATTGAATTATAAGAGTATAAAAATTATAAGTTACGACTATTATATACATTATCATTTATTTTTCGTAATTGGATGATTAAGATAAAATAAGTTATCCTATATCCTACAAAAATAATTATAATCAGATTGTATTCCTCCGAAACACTTAAAAAACATAAACCAGAATGTACGATATAATTTATATATAATTTAAATTTTTAAAGGCATAGAAATAAAATTTTACTGTAGTTTACGGATAAAAAACTATATTGTTAAAAGAGAGAGTTGGGTTGTAACTGAGCGAAATACATAAACTATACAACATCACATGGTACTTACTTTGATATGTAAAACATGAAATCAAACCCGGGACCGTAGGTCCGTAGCGCGGATCGATATCTAGTTGTAATACTGAAAACACGTAGTCCATGAATTTCTTTTTAGTATAAAAAGACACTGTTTTTTCTTAATAAAGTTTATATTCAATAGACCTACTAATTTGTAAATGTAATCTAGTGTAAAAAGATGTATGTGTCTTGTCCTCCTCGCGTTATGATTTGTATAATTCTCAACATGTATTTATATATGCATTGATTAACTGTGTACTGGGGCATGGTTAAATAATTGAACAAAAATTATGAAGTCCATTTCTAGTCTTTATTAATATAGATTCCACATTACCTGATATAAAGAGGACCAATTTTGTTTTATTGTTTTTCTTAGAAAAGTTTCTTCATTAGTTGCCAATTACAGCAAGTGCCAACCCAGCTAATTTGACTCTTTTGAATACGATTAACCTGTGGAAAATAAACTCATGGTGATAAATAAAATATTTGGAGTTAGAAAAACAAAACAATTATCATTTCCGAAATTCACATTTTTAAAACATTAGATAGTTGTGAAAAAAACTTTAGATATTGACTTGATGAGAAGTCATTCAAAATGATTGTTTTCTAAAATGATTGAGAGCGTTGATTGCTTTTTAGATACACGTAAATGAACAAAATAAAATTTAATATATGGCTTCATCCAGTGGTGGAGCCAGCAAAAAATTTGACCGGGGATCAATTTTATTTACAAGAAAAAATATCAATTAATATTAATTAAATATTAATATTATTTTAATTTATTAAATAATATGAATTTTGAATAGGTAAAACGACATATAAATACATGTCCAAATTTATTTTTGACATATATTCCAAACATCAACTTATAAAACTGTTCACATTCTTAATATTTTTTAAAGATTAGCAGTAATCCAAAACGAGTTTTAAACTTGTGATCTAAAAATGAATAAAAGAACTAAAAGTATGATAAAAAATGTAAGGAAAAATGTTTATGTGTAAATCATCAATTATCTTTAGTAGATAAAAATGTTGGACAGTTGTAAAAGATAATAGAAATCAATTAGGGTAAATAAGTGAAAATAATGTTTAGGTAGTTATTGGGTATCTTTGGGTTTTGATTAAAGTAAAATTACTTTAAACAAGCTTTTGAAAAATCATAGGGTCAAGTCACACGTTCTCAAAAATATCATTGGGGGTCAAGACACTAATTTTACACCATTTTACCAAAAATTTGTTCCAAAATGCAAGTAAACTTTTTCTGACAGAAATCTATAGGGGTCAGGTGACCCCCACTCCTAAAGCTGCCTCCGCCCCTGGCTTCATGTGTCCCAATTGAAATATCATACAGTACTTATCATAAATTTCGCATGTCGGAAATAAAACATGTATACAAATTCATCAAATTTCCTTTATTCTCGTGGTTAAATTATGTGAGTAACTTGTGTAGACTACATTATATAATCTTTTTATTTTTTATTTTTAAAGTAGGTTTGCGATAAAATCTATAATCCAAATCCCGAATCGACTAAAACTATAAAAAAAACACTGGATTCATACTTGGTCCGACATGTAAGAAACACCAGAATGAGTTTTTTATGGTGACATAAAACATATCCAAACCCGGAGTGTTATTAGCCGAACTCGAATGGATAATCCAAAAATCAAAAATTCTGAAAGCTCAAAAACTGATCCAAATGTCTAAATTAATCACAAGAATAAATATTTGAAATATCACATATTCAAATGTATATTTATTCTGCAATGATATCTAGAAATAAGTATTGAAATGTTAATTAAATATTTTAAATATATAATTCTACATAAATAAGTATTTACTTCTTTTTTTTTACTTTTAAATTTTGGATTTAACTACAGACATATCTGAACAAAACTAACATAACACGAATCCGAATGCTATATGATTACTTTATGGATTTTAAGATGTAATACAAATTAAAATCATAACAGATGTGTTATATCATAATCTGATATGTATTTATAATATGAATTTATTTATTTCTTGTATTTTTTAAAGTTTCTTTTATTATAATATTAAGTCAGTATTTATATAATAAAATTAAATTATATGTCATTTAACTTGTCTCATACCTGATGAATGTTTGATTTTTAAGAAATAAACTGTAAGAAACTATAATTATAAATACTAATATATAATTCAAATATAGTATATAATCAAATAGTATTAATATCAACTAAATTTAATATTCAAATATAATAAATTATGTTTTAAAATTCTAATTTAGATATAATATTAAATATAAAATTATTTAGTCTCTTAAATATTAAGTTAAGTATAAGTAGAAATAATAGAAAAAGTAGTTAGATGTAATAGTCCAACCTAAACTACTTACAATTAGATAAAAATTGCTCATATTTAATAGTATTGATAAATTACATATGCTGGTTTTATCAAATTAAATAAATCAAGTTGCCAAATGTCAAAGGAAGGATATATCTAACTGCTATTTTGACCATTTCAAAATGAGAATAAATTATCTAAAAAATATACATCTTCCAAACCATGTTTATTTCATGGCCATCGTTCAACTTAGTTACTCCATTCGGCAACTAGATAATTAGATAAATTTTTTTTTTTTTGAAGAAAGGGTTTTCACAATTAGATAATTTGAGTCAAACTTTGAAAGCAATCGTCATGCATCCCTTATTCTAGAACATTCAATCTTTATTATAAAAATACACTAGAAAAAAATCATTATTTTATTCTAAGATCATGATCCGCGCATCCGCGCAATTTTTGTTGTTGTTTGTATTCTATATAATTTAGTTTTATATAATTTAAAACTTGACTAATTCCATTTTACGTTTAAAAACAATACCATAACTGTATTTTGTAATAATAGTGTCAATTGTATTATATAGATCTAACTATGCAGTAAAACACTAATTATATATGTTAATTCGAAGTGCAAAATCAAATTCAAACTTAATTGTTTGCATAAAATAAATTAGTTGATATTTTAGTTCTTCTGATGTTAATAATATATCTAAAGTGTTGAAAATAATATACAAAATTTAATGAAATATAACCTTATTTAAAATAAAATGGAATTGACTCGCGCTTTGCAAGCGCGGAAATATCTTATGATGAAAATTTCACTAATAATTAAGCTATTTTGTTAATTTGAAGTGTATTTAAATTTTTTTTTCATTTAAATCAGTATTTTTGAATTCGACCCAAACCTGCAGTTTAATGGGTTAATCTAGTGATCCGATATTCGATTTTGATTTTTTAAAATATCCATATTCAAAATCACTAAACACCGAGACCAACCGACTGAACTGATGGATACTCGATATGTAATATTTAAACCTGAAAAATTAAGTTCAATTTATTTTTGTTGATTAAAAATTATTTGAATTTTTCAAATTATTTAATTTATCGAAATAACTTGGAAGAATTTTTTTTTAATTATTTAAAAAATGAAAGCTAATATTTTGTATTATTTGGACACAAGATTAATTAAAGTGTTGTTTGGAAACACTGATAGTAGTATAAAGAAATAAGTATATTGTTTGGAAACATGAATTGTAGTATAAAGAAATAAATATTAGTGATTTAATGTATGTTTAACTATAAAGTAGGAAGGTGTATTTAATTTAAAAACTTACAAAATAAATCTTAGGTTCAACACAATGTTTCTACTTTAATAATATATATATATACTCTACCAGATCAAATCCTAACTGTTTTTAATCCTCAACTTCATTGGAGATTCATTGTACGAAAAAACGCTAACAATAAGTCTTATCTAGGCATGTACATTCGGGGTCCCAATCGGGTTTTGGTTTTTCAGATTGATCAAAATCAGTCCCATTCGAGTTATATGAAAGTTTGGGTTCTATCGGGTTTAGGTTAGTAAATCTTCAAAAACCGGATAACCTGTTGTATTTTTGGGTCCGGGTCTCAATCGATTCTTTAGTTTAGAAGTACCTGGTTTCTTCTTACTTTGTAACCAAAACATAAATTTTGGAATTTAAACTATCTGATTTATACCTATTTTTAACCAAAATATAAGCAAAATTTACTCAAAAATAAGAGGAACATCAAATTTGATCATTCAAAATCAAACGAAAGGTAATCATAGTTATTGATCGAAAGAAAACCAAATAAATGAACACATAAAATGAAAAACAAGTTCTCATGAAATGAGAAACCTTATTAGTGAAAAAAAAATCAAGGGTTTTGTTCAACATTGTCGGAGACATTAGTTTTGTTGTCATCATTTTCTTCATCAGCTTCCAACTCTCTCCGTAAGAAGAGAAAAGAACTTCTTTGTAGCCATGGCTAATGAGATTGCTCGAGTACGACTCTGATCTGTCTGCAAGAGCCTCGTCTTTTTTTCTAAACACTTCTCTGGCGATCTCGCTTGAGGTTACGGGGATGACGTGGACGCGGGCGAAGCGGAAGCAAGCTATTTCTGTTTGCATGTCTTCCATGGAACGGTGGATCCACATGTGAGCCGGCCGGTTCATGATCATGTGGAACAAGTTCCCTATGATCGGCCATCCCCGTGGCCCCGGAGGAAGCTGACCCTTTGTTTTTTTGGATCTCAAGGAAAGCAATGCGAGAGACAAGACCAACGTAAAGGAAAATAGAACAATTGTGAAGTTAGTTGGATTCGTAATATCCATGATCATGGCTAACTTTTTATTGGGAAGTGATGTTAGGAATTCTCGATCGTTTGATTGCTTAACTAAATAACACATAGAATTTGATCACCGAGTTCCCGGCCTCTAGCGCGGTACGTCTCGGGTGGGAACCGTCTCCCACAACATCCACTATCAATCTAAGGGGTTACACAAACGCTCTAAGCGCTCAATGAGAAGACACAACAAAGATTAAGAAAGATCAAAGAAACTCTATCCCTTAGAGACATGACTCGAACAATGTCTCTCGCCTTGAGTTTCTTCTCTAACCCGATCTCTCTTTAGCTCTCTCTCTTTTGGTCTTGTGTTTCGGATCCCTTTTACGTGAGCTCTCCTTCCTTTTTATATTGCAGCCAAATCACCGACTTTACCTCACGTAATTTCCTTTTGTAATTGGTCTTCACCTTGTTTTTCTTTTCCTTATTTGTCTAGGACATAATCCACCGTCATTAGACGAACGAAGCTAAAGCTTCAAACTGATAGGCTTCCATACGTAATGGGCCAGATAAGATTTGGGCCTATTTTCTACAAGTGATAAGAGATTTTACTTCTGAGTTTAGTAGTGGATGAACTGAGTAATACGTACCTTTGCCTCACTGTCGTCTATTTATAGATTTTAATATTCATATATAACCATATAATATTACTATATTATCAATCAAAAACCAAATAAAGGTTGACGTAGCTAGCTAATGCATGGCATGGACTTAAATAAAAAATATAATAAGATTTTGATATGCTATTAAAATATATGGTTATTTTTAGTATGCAAAGTTTATTCAATAGATATTACAAGGTTATTTTTATCTTAAATTTTTGATATAAGCCTTAAGTTCTGTTGCTAAATATATTCATCATTCATTTTTTTTAAAGAATAATTGTAGTTCAAACTATATATGTACAGTCATACTATTAAATATTATGTATTAATCAGATCATAAATTTTATATTAATTTATTTTATTTTTTTATAAATAATATATCACCTAGTACTTTATAGTTAAAATAGTTTTTATACAAGTGTAAATATATAGTAATCAAAAGTGAATTATCTATTTATTAACATGTCTCTTATATTTGTATGTTTTATTTTAGCAATTTACAACTAAAATAGAGTAATGCATTTTTAACATGTTTTACTTTAGTCTTTTTTTTTTTTTTGTAACAACGAAAGGCTGATCTATTACTCAAGCTTGAGGTGGTCTGGGAATCCAGACCGGAATAGAACAACCAACATACATGTTTTACTTTAGTCAAAAATACATTTGAAGCATCATTTATATTAAATTCTAACCAATGTTAGGTGAGGCCATATGGCAAGCTCAGTTGACAGAACTTGATATTCGGACTCACACCGAGGCCTTGCGAGTTCAAGATCTCTGCACTTCAAAATAGCTTTTCTCAAAGCAAGACCTTCGCCATAAGGGGAGACTTTAAAAATCGAGAAGGATAAGCAAAGGAAAGGACTGTCATGATTTTTATTGACCATTTGAGTCCTGCAAGTTTTTAGTCTCTCTTTCCAGGCCGCATCAGATCTAACGGTGCACAGATCCACATATAGTCTCCAATTTTTTCACTCGGGCGTTAAATGTGACCTAGGGTTTGATTGACACATCATTAGCATAAACATTATGCTCTTTATTATTCGATCAACAATTACCAACAAAAAATTTAGAAAAACATTTACCAAATGGTAATGCTCTTAAAATACTCTTAAGAGAACAATATTTCACATTTAAAATATAATATAATTTATATAATTATATATATCATTCATTATTTTTAATAAAAAAACACAGCATAATATAGATATAAAAATATCTATATTATTTTAACACTAATAAATAAAAAATATAAAAGATATATTAATTTTTATGATAATTTCATATATTAATCAATTACTGCTCTACCAATAAATAAATAATGATAACTTATATATAAATTATATATATAATTAATTAATTAATTTAATAATATTAAAAATTATTTTTATATCCAAAAATAATTTGATATTTTTAAAATAAATTTTACATTTTAAATAATAATATTTCACATATAAACTATAATATAATTTATATAATGAATAAGATTCATATTTTAAAAACAAATATATTATTAATATATATTATAAAATATATAATAATATTTTACAATAAATATATTATTATACTAACTATTATGATTATTTTAAAATTGTATATTGCTACTGCTCTACCAATCAATTTATCAAAAACTTTAAAAAAAGCATACAGCTTTTGCAACTTACTGTTTGTACATCATACTGCTACTGCTTTATTATTTGATGTAATAGCCAGTTAAATGTGATCCACGTATGAGGAACGGATAGCGAGTTTCCGAACAGTAGTTATATCACATCTGGTGTGTTGACGACATTTTTTTATTTTCTTACTAAATGTATACTAACTATTCAATAACCCGAGTAATTTGTGAATGTACAGTCATCCTATTAAATATTATGTATTATTCAGATCATAAATTTTATATTAACTTATTTTATTTTTTATAAATAATATATCATCTAATATTTTATAGTTAAAATAGTTTTTATACAAGTGTAAATATATAGTAATCAAAATAGAATTATCTATTTATTAACATGTCTCTTGTATTTGTATGTTTTATTTTAGCAATTTACAGTTAAAATAGAGTAATGCATTTTTAACATGTTTTACTTTAGTCAAAAAAACATTTGAAGCATCATTTATATTAAATTCTAACCAATGTTAGGTGAGGCCATATGGCAAGCTCAGTTGACAGAGCCAGCTTTGCTAATCTGTCCGTGTATTCGGACTCATGCCGAAGCCTNCATGTTTTACTTTAGTCAAAAAAACATTTGAAGCATCATTTATATTAAATTCTAACCAATGTTAGGTGAGGCCATATGGCAAGCTCAGTTGACAGAGCCAGCTTTGCTAATCTGTCCGTGTATTCGGACTCATGCCGAAGCCTTGCGAGTTCAAGATCTCTGCACTTCAAAATAGCTTTTCTCAAAGCAAGACCTTCGCTATAAGGGGAGACTTTACAAATCGAGAAGAATAAGCAAAGGAAAGGACTGTCATGATTTTTATTGACCATTCGAGTCCTGCAAGGGTTTAGTCTCTCTTTCCAGGCCGCATCGGATCTGACAGGTGCACAGATCCACGTATAGTCTCCAATTTTTTCACTCGGCATTAAATGTGACCTAGGGTTTGATTGACACATCATTAGCATAAACATTATGCTCTTTATTATTCTATCAACATTTACCAAAAAAACATTTATCAAATGCTAATGTTCTCAAAATACTATTTGTTCAATGCTCTCATATATAGCTTTTAGGAAAGCATTTGCATTAGGGCTGTTCAATATGGTGATACCGAACCGTACCGAACCGAACCGAACCGAAATAGACAATATGGTTTGGATTTGGTATATACCATATAAACCGAATGGATATGATTTTATAAAAACCGTAGGATTTGGATATGGTTAGGTTTATAACCGATTAAACCGAATAAACCGAATAAAACCGATCAAAGGAAAAATATATAAATATATACATTATATAACCATTTATTTTCTTGGAATAGTCTTTTTATTTTTATTTTTTATATCTTGTGAAGATATATCTTTATTTTCATGGCTATATGAATTAAAATATATATCAAAGATATTAGGTGTCCTTCTCTTTTGAAAATATTTACAGTTATCTCATTTTATAGTAATATTTTGGGAGAATTTCAATTATACCACTTTGGTGCTACCACTTTTCATGTTTACCATAAACAAAAGAACATTTTTAAAAATACACTTTTTATTAAAGGATAAAAGACTCTTATATCCTTGTTCTTTATATATATACATAAAATAAATATTAAATAAAATATTAACTCTAAACCCTAAAACATCAATTCTAAACTCTAGACCCTAAAAAGTAAACCCTAAACCCTAAAAATCAACCCTAAACCCTAAAATATCAATTCTAAACCTTAAACCCTAAAACCTAAACCCTAAAAAGTAAACCCTAAACCCTAAAAATTCAACACTAAACCCTAAACTATCAATCCTAAACCCAAAACCCTAAATCCTAAATTCTAATAATATTTTGACTATTAAAATTTTAGTGGTAAAGTTGGCTAGTGTAAAGTTGAAAAGTGGTATCTTGAAAGTGTTATTTCTGGCAATTTCCCTAATATTTTCTGTGAGTTTTTATTAGAAATATGAAATATTTATATACAAATACTATATAATGTTATTTCTTATTTTATAAATTAAAATGAGTTAGTATTCATTTGTAATTAATTTAATATTATTTACAGTTTTTATTATTAAAATAATATTAAACCAATAAATAGTTATATTTTAAATAAAATATATAAAAAAAGATATTGTTAAAATGTGAACTTAGAAAAACAGTAAAGAATATCTTTTTGATATCTTATTTTGAAACAAATTTAAATATTGTGTTAAGATTATGTGTTTATTTAATAATAAATAACTTTGTTGTATTCAAAATAATAAAAATTAAATAAATCATTTTGTGTTTGTTTGGGAAAATCGGAGAAACGTTTATCCTTCTAATATATATTTTTCATATGTCCAAAGTTTTAGGTATGTACAATTAGAATATCGTCAGTAAGTGGTAACATTTAAACTTCTAATTAATCTTCCATTTTCTCATACGCTCTAAATATAGGGAAATTGCCAGAAATAACACTTTCAATATACCACTTTTCAACTTTACACTAACCAACTTTACCACTAAAATTTTAATAGTCAAAATACTATTAGAATTTAGGATTTAGGGTTTTGGGTTTAGGATTGATAGTTTAGGGTTTAGTGTTGATTTTTTAGGATTTAGGGTTTACTTTTTAGGGTTTAGAGTTTAGGATTTAAGGTTTAGAATTAATATTTTAGGGTCTAGGGTTGATTTTTAGGGTTTAGGGTTTACTTTTTAGGGTCTAAAGTTTAGAATTGATGTTTTAGGGTTTA